GTGTGTGTGTGTGTGTGTGTGTTTATATATGCAGTATATTTTTGATTTAACGAGGTAGATCTCCCTTAAATTTAGATTTTTATGGGAGACATTAAAGTGTCCCTTAAAAAAGGAGATTTTAAGGTCTAAATTTTTTACCTATACATATTTATTCCACTCATTTTATGTGTGATTTATTTATTTTCTATTATAAGTTTTATATTGTGATATATATCGTTACCGCCACCCATCATAACGTATATCGTGATATGAATTTTTTGCCATATCGCACATTCCTAGTGTGGAGGACATCACATGTAGCAGCGTTAGCAGAGGGGGGGGATATACAGTTATCACAATTACATGTGAAAACTCCCATGGGAGACAGTATGGCCTCATGCTAAGAGCTAGCAATTCAATGTCCTTACTGCAGAGCGTCTCTTTGATAGTTACATGTCCAGCATTGCGCCATCTCTCATTCACAAACACAGCCAGACCCCCTCCTCTCTTCTTACCACTATCCCTGGTTCTGTCAGCATGAATTGAGTGAAAGCCATCCATACTGATGTGTGAGTCGGGAGTTAGCGGTGTTAGCCACGTCTCCGTCGGGCACATGAGGCTGGCCTCTCGGTAGCTTCTTTGATGTTGTGCTAGCGCCGCTAATTTGTCTAGCTTGTTGTGAAGCGACCTCACATTTCCCATGACGATGGACGGGATGGCGGGTCTGTATCTCCTTCCCATGTTGCGACGTTCGATGCCCGCGCGCCTGCCGCATCTCTTCCTTCTCAGTTCAGGGGGAACATCGGGTCGTTCAGGTGGAGCTACAGCGGAGTTCCTTAGGGAGTGCAGCTGGTCCCGAGTGTAAACAATAGGAGAGAAGTCCACTCAGAGAGGAAGTTTAGAAGTCCACTCTGCGGCCGGTCGGCCCCACTCTGAGCAGATCAACTGACTGGAGGCATGTTATAGAAGCATCAGGGCACCGCATAACAAGAGCACGCCATGTGGCCACAGGGCCGAGCATAGCAGCACCTCTACAGAGCGAACCGCTGGCAGCCCAGCAGCCCACAAACCCATCGGCCCACCGGTAAAACTCCGGTAGACTTGTCCCTGACGTGTAGGAACCCAGTGAATATGTCTGGTCCAGTTAGGTAAAAAATATTTTCTTATTTTGTGTTATTTTAAACTCACTCATCTTGTGCATTAAATATTTTGTCCTCTGAGTTGAACTTCTGTCAGACAATTAAACGTTCATTTGAGAGTACTTCTTAAAGAATCTGTACCTGTGGTGTGGCAGCCTCCATCACAGGCACAGGAAACATGAAGGAGCCTCCATCAGTGGGCTGGTTGAGATATTCAGACTGCTGAGAGTAGATCGCTGCACCAGAGGGCACCTGGACACCAAACATTAGAAGGAGGTTAACAGTTGATAAAAATCCTGCAAGGACATGAACTAAATGTGATTATTTCACCTACTTGAACAGTATTCCACTGATACTGGTTTGGAACGCTCTAAAGAGAGGGTGAAGCAGAAAGAAAGGACTGAAACTCAGATAAATGTGAATAACTGAAGGAAATCTGGATGGGTGAAAACACTAAACTGACCTGGAAGTGGTGATACACGGGCTGCTGGTGGTGAATGGGCTGATGGGACTGAGAGTGCATCAGCTGAGGCGCAGACTAAGAAAAAAATTACAATATATATTCATTTCCTATCATACAGTATTCACTGATCCACATCTGTGGCCCAGTTCAAACCTTCAGTCATGTCAGTGATCAATTTTACACAGTCCTTATTCATAATGAGGTAATTATACTGTATTATATTGTTCTCTGTAGCCTGCAGCACAATGAGAAATGATTTAAAAGCCTTAATGAAGCTCATTAAAAGGTTTAAACATGTGTTAACTGAGTGCAAAACAAGAGCATACTCACAGACCAGTGGTGGGGAGCGGGGTTCATGTTTGCACAATTAAAGTAAGCCACTCCGTTATGGTAGGTGTAGGGATACCCTGTGGACGTGGTCAGGTAGAACGTCCCAAAGGACATCTGATGAGGTATGGCAGGTTCAATGGGGGTCATATGAGGGTGGTTTGCTGAAAAAAAATTGAAAGAAAGAAAGACAGGAAACAAAACATTAAACTACGAATGCATCGATCCACAATCTTTCACGTCTGATCCAATACCTGAACTTTTTATATTGGCCGATACCGATACTATTAACACAAAAGCTTTGTTTGTTTTATTATTATTAATTATGTCATCATCATAATCATTATTGTTATGTACAATATTTTGGTATCATTGTTAATTGTATATAAGTTAGAAAGCAAATGTAAATAGTAATATTCATAAATGAATGAATGAATTAAACAAACCTTCACCTCAAACAGACGCTTCAGTTTCACATTCAAAAATCACCTCACACTCAAACTAGAGATGTAAGCTGTCGATTAGTAAATTAATCTAAAGTTGATTGATCCTATTGATTGACAATTATTTGACAAGCAGATACAGTGTGTGTGTGTGTGTGTGTGTGTGTGTG